ATCATTATTTCATAGTGCATGTAGGATTCAAATTCTATAATGCTATTAAATTAGAATTTGTCATCCATCTTAATCTCGTTCCATATTACGAAAGTTTACAAAATACTTGCTTAATTTTTTTCACGGCTGATTCTTTTTCAAAAGCAAGCAATACCAGATCAAGTCTTAGATGGCTATGAGATTTCTCCTTTAACAATGAAAGTTCGAAATAGAACTGATTATTTGATCGAATTTTTAGGTGGTTTGATGCCAATTGATAGCCTTAAGCCCCGTGAAAGTACGCTCATTTATCAAGTCAATTGAAGGGGCAATTCGATTGACTCGATTCATCAAGCCAATGGTGTATAGTTCCCATTAATAGAAAAAATTCGGACTTAGATTTCATGTCTTTTACTGATTTCGTACCTTTTCAACGACTTTGAAATTTCAGAGAATCAACCGTGGAAAGATTATATACCCATTGCTAAAATTATTTCGTACTGGGGTTGGACTACCTATCTTTCTTTTTTGTAATTTCGTCATTTCTAGCCAAATAAGACTTGAATTCAGGTCACTCTTGCCGAATGAACCAACTAAAGAGGCCATTACTAATCGCTAACGTTTCTACATCCTCAATTAAAAAAAAAACACCATAGTTGTCGTCGTGTATGTTGCGAATACGGTCCACGTTCCATCCCGAATCACTCTGTCTGAATTAATGAAACCTTTCTCCCTTCTAATAGCCCCATCCATATTCATTTTCAGCTTCCCAAGCGGAGGTGGCTCCTAGCAAAGTAAAAGAAAAACTCTAGTGGACTTGTGATAAAAAATTAAAAAAAAATCTCGTATTGCAATAATTTCAAATTTCAACAAAGTCTAACCATAAATTTCAGGCCAATGATATAAAGGTTCATTCGACCCCTTGTATGACTGAATTTGCTCTAAGATCACGAGGGCTTAAAGGCTTCAACTGTGAGTTTTGTTGGATAAACAAGTTTCTCTAGTTGAAAAATTGAGGAAATTTGTACAAATCTTAGGGTCCGTTTGATTGCAAAGCAGGAAAATTGGTGGAAAGAAAATGTTTTACAGATAATTGAATTGTCTAGAAATTATTTTACTGAGAATTGTAATTAATTGTGTTTGATTGGTATATTTTCCACCTAAAAAAGTTGAAAGTTTGGTGTCCATTTGACTTTGTTTTTTATGGAAATTGTCCATTAAAGTGATATTTTTTCTTACCATTGGGTCTAGAATTTGTTCCAATTGCAAAAAAATAAAAAATTACCAAACCAAATATAATTCGTTGACTTTGTTTTGCATGGAAATTGTCAATAAAAGTGAAAAAAAATTTCACCATTGTCTATAATTTTTTCTAATTGTCAAAAAAAAAAAAAAAAAAAAAAAAAAATTGGAAAACCAATTCCCACCAAAANGAAAATGGAAAATGAGTTCCATTTTTCATGGAAAATCTATGCTATCAAGCATAGCCTTACTCTATTTACCTTGAACTCATTTGTAATATCCTTGACTTAGTCTGAAGATAAAATTTAAATAAATAATATTGTCCTTTTCTAAAATTAAAAACTTTTAGGTTTAAAATTTGCACAATCAAATTTTATATGAAAAAAACACAAATTATGTATAAATGTAAAGGACATGTCGAATAATTAATTTTACGTCAATAAAATTGTCTCTCCCAACAACTTATTTTCATAATAGAGATGAGTTATGATACAGCAAAGCCACTGGGACTCTTAGAAATTTGTGTCCATATTTGGTTGCTGGCTTCAAGCAAAAGATCAATAAGGATAATGAAGATGCCCTGGTCCAAGTAGTGGTGGCAATGGTCGAGCCGGATCGGTCCATCTACCCATGAGCTCGGCTCGATAAAGTGACAAGCCAGCTCAGCTCGTGCTCAAGGGTCGAGCTTGGCTTAGCCCACGAGATCGTAACCTCAAGAGTCGAACCGAGCCCACGAGTTTTTTTTTTTAAACTTCTTTCTTCACATTTTTTACGAGCTCGTGGGCCACGAGCCGTTCGCGAGCTCGACGAGCCGAGCCTTGCTCAACTCCTCGGTGAACCCCCGGCTCGGCTCGGCTCGTGCTCTCCCAAAATGAGCCCGAGCAGTCAATGAGCCGAGTTTAGACGAGACGAGTCGAGCCAACGAGCTACTCGGCCATTTTGCCACCCCTAGGTTCAAGAGTCATAAATTAGGGCGATAAATGGATCGAATATAGAGTGAATCTGCACATATCCGATCCGATAAAAATAATTTTTGGATTCGATAATTCAACGGATATTTGATTGTTAAAAATTCATATCAAATTTGTTATGTTATCGGATATCCGATCCGAAATTAAAGAAATTAAGAAAGTAAAATCAAAGTTGAAATTCACTTTTTTCCTAATTTTTTCAATTTTTAAACGGGTTTAATAATTATAAATCTTTCAATTTTTTAACTTTTAGCAAATTGAATTGAAAACACAAAAAGTTGCGTAGCCATTTATTGACTCACTTTTTTATAGAGGATATCTTCATATATTTTATTATAAACTTTCGATATGAGATAATAATCAATTTGGTTTGGTTGTAGTATATTGTACCTTTAGTTTGACTATAGTATATTGTACATTTGGTTTGATTGTAGTGTATGTACTATTATATAAATAGTTACTTATAATTTATTAAATTAATCGTTTTTCATATCTTTTACTAATTAATAAAAAATTAAATTCTCCAAATATTTCAATTGACACTATTATACTATATCTTGTTTATCGAATATATTTATTTTATTAAACTTTTAAAGCTGTATTTGGTATTATAATTTATATGTATTATTAAATAATTTTTAGATTGATTAAAAATTTAAAATAATATTAAAGTAAGAAAATACATTTTTAAGTTTTTTTACACCAAAGTTTCGTCTAAACTTGTCTAGCCAAAATCTCCACATCTCCACATCTCGCCATGAATTACTCTTTTTAGAACACTGTGTATACGTGGATTGTGTTTTTTTATGGTTTGAATTTGATGACTTTTTTTTATAAATTATTGGTATATATTTATTTTAGTTTTTAGTGATAAATAACATGCAATAAAAATATTTTACCGACTCAATTATTTATAACAAATCAGATCGGATTGACATATATCTATATTTGATCAATTTAGTTAACGGATTATCGGATTCGAATTTTGATCTAATTATTGGACCGAGACCCTAAAAATATCCCCATTAACTTTATTGGATTCAAATCAAAATCCAACCAATTGACAGTACTAGTCATAATCATTATCATTCCTTTTTGCTTTAGCAAAGAATATAAAAAAAAATGCAAGATTGGTTTTAAACTTCGACAACACGTCCTTTGTGTTAATAACGGTAATTTTACCAGGAAACCAACTTTTCTCTGGTATAACTAAAGTCCAAACCTGCATAAAGATCACCGAAGAACGTATTAATTCAAAATTCAAACAAAAAAAAAAAAACCCATATATGGTCACAACCTCCACACATGCATACTGATCACACAAAAAAAAAAAGTTTGGTCACACCGTTTGGTAGGTCACTAGCATGATTATTTTTTTCATTCCACAATTCGTAAATCAAACAAAGCAAATGTCAGATTACAGAATACCAATATGCACTGAACTCATACATCACAAATTGAATATAGCATAAGTCACAAATAATGTATTAATTCAAAAATCGAACAACAACAAAAACCCCATGTACGGTCACAACCTCCACACATGCATACTGGTCACACACAAAAAAAAGTTTGGGTAGGTCACAATCATGATTATTTTTTCCATTCCACAATTCGTAAATCAAACAAAACAAAGAACATTGTTTATGAGTCACAATACGGAATGCAATGAACTCATACATCACAAATTGAATATAGCATAAGTCCCAAATGTA